TGTATCATTATGGACTATATGATGTGACAATAGAAAATTCATTGGCTGACTTGCATTGGTTGATTGTCAGCGTTAAAGGGTGGATATCTATTTGGACAGATAGAAAGATTAAGAATGACAAGCACAAGCACAAGAAAAGTTTTTTTTTTTTTTTATAAAATAAAAAAGACTTGTGATAGTGCTATCCTCTTCTTTTTTCCTTCTACAAGAAATGTTATAAAAGAAAAAACATTGGCATAACTTGCACAATTCTCATGACACTCCTAAGTAGGTGAAGGAATTGGGCTGATCAGTTTTGTATCAAGTGTTATTCATAGATTTGATGCTGATAGTGACTGGTTAGGGATATGACGATCTAGAAAAGTGTTATCCATTAATGCTTGGTAATTTATTACATGTTTAATGTTTCAAGTTATACTAGTGTGTCAGCCAGAGACTGAGGTTGTTAGAGTGTATGTTAATTTGTGAAAACATATGTGTTTTAGATGCCTGTAAGCTTCAGTTTTATAGAGGGATGATGAAAAAAATTGTTTCAAGATGTCATGTCCTAATACTGGCAATACAATAGAGGGCAATCAAATAGGACTAGCAGTATCGCAGTATGATTAACTTTCTATTTTTTACATAAATTTGGCTGTGTCTGTATATATATACACCATTCATTTTTTGTGATTCCTGACACTGCTGTTTTCTGAATATTACATTATTCATGTATTTACCTTTTGTTCCAATATAATTTCTAGACTATAAGTAAAATATGTGTATGTGTGTGTATATATGTAAATGTATTTTGGTTAAACATACTAAAACCATAAACATTAAATTATTTGAAGTATACCTAGAAAATGTAAATGGTAGTCTTGATGAATATGGCTTTTAAATCAAGGTATTTGTAAGGAAATATATATATATTGATAATTATCCAAATGCATATGATAGAAATTCAAAGAAATGTAATAAATTAATCAGGATAAAAGCTCTAAACTCATTGATGTTAGTGTTGAGTGTTATTTTAATTTTATTTAAAATTATAATCAATCTTATAGAATGCTCAGTACTTTCTTGATAAAACCAAAAAATTTAAAGGCTTTTATTACCACAGATGTCATTTGCTATAGTATATAGTTCTATTGGAAATGCCCATTGTATGTTTTCATTTTCCAACACACGAGCTGAAAGCTTTGTGTAGAATAATGATTCTAAATTATCCTCTTGTCATTGATTTATAACAGAAAATGAATTTGTATATTTTCATCCAAGAAATTGTCTGACATTCCTTTTTTCATTCCTCCTTGTTTTCCTTTCTTATTTCTTAAATATCTTTTCCTCTCTCATCTTGGAGGTTTGAATACCTCAGTGCTTGAAAGACTGTTTCCCATGAAAAAAGGCTCTGTAGATGTGATATCAAATTAAGGATGGATAAATCTATTTTCAATTAAAATCTGCCATCAGTCTCTTGTACTGCAACAAAAGCAAACCAATAGTCAGTGAAACAACAATGAGTAAAATAAAATTAAAATGACTGAAGTGATATAAAACAAAATAATTACCCAAAAAATAACTATCATCCCAGAAAAATTGGAGTTCTGAGACAATCCAGTTGACTGAACAGTCCTTTAGAATAGGCACTACAATTGGGTAATTGTTACTGATGTAATTAACCGTCTTGTGCTATTTATTATTTCTACTTTCAATACCTCACACCATTATCTAAAAAGCCAACCAGTATAAAACCCTTAAACACCTCTTTTTCCCCCCACATGGTGTGTATACAATGAAGGATTGGACAATACTGAAATCACAATTTGGGTAGAAAGCTTAACATGATATGCAATATATAAATAATTTTAAGCTTCTGTTGTTTTATAATGATAGAATATACTAATATTTCTTGATTCTGCTTCAAGCTTTCACCTTTCTTACTAGTAATTATTGACCAACTATGAGATGAACTTTACCTAGCTATATTATGGTCTTTTAATGCATAATACAAAAACAGAGATGAATACTGTAGATATATGACAAAGGCTTGTTTATTTTTCAGCATGTATATCACTTAAATTAACTTCTTAAATTATGGGTAAGATGGTTTCATCAACCCCCCCCACTGGACAGAAGTTATGGTTTAAAAATCTGGTTACTGGAAAAATGCCTTGTGAAAACAATATTTTCAAACCTACATAACTACTATAACTTATGTGCAAAAAAAAAGATAACATTATGTGTTTGCTTCCCCTATCATGCCCCTCAAAGAGAGGAATCTGTGAGGTGGTTTGAAAAAAGTGAATCTAGGAATAAAAAAAAAAGGTTAAAATACATAGCTAGCAAAAAAAAAAAGTGAAAACAGTAAGTTGATCTATAGATTTACAAAAGCAGTAGGGAGCAGAGTGCAAGATAAAACAACCTCCACATCTTGAATTAGAAGAATGCTACTTTACGTGAAGCTATGACACAGAGAGAGAGGGAGGGGGGGGGGGGGGGGGGGGAGGAGAAGAGAGAA